GCCAAAAGCTTTTAGATCGCTAATGATTTTGTTGAATCTGGCAAACATCTCTTCAATGGATTCTCCTTCTTTCATCTGGAAAAGTTCGTAGTCATGAACCAACATGTTGATATGGGTTTCTATCAATTTACTGGTTCCTTCATAAATAACTTCAAGTTTATCCCACATCTCTTTGGTTGTGTCACAACTGTAGATTTTCTCATATTCTTCACCATTTATAGCATTATAGAGCAGATTCCTTATTTTAGCATTATCTTGCACAACTATCATTTGTTCATATGTGTATTCATCTATATCTTCAGGATCAGCAGGTGGTTAAGCAGCAGCAAAAAAAGGGTAGTTCCCCTTTTTGATAACTCGCCAGACCTTGACATCATAAGACTTTGTGTATATTTCCATACGCACTTTTCAGTGAGAGAAATATTGTCCATTGAAATACGGTGGCCTCACTTGCGATGTTCCTTCTTGGAAGAGTGCTCCAATAATAACTTGATTTGCCATGATCTTTTATCACAAGCTGTTAAGCAAAAGAAAAATGTGCGTCTTGCTCTGATACCAATTGAAAGTACAAGAGGGGGTGAATTGCTTATTTTTAACAACTTTTAACAGTAGTTGACTAGATCAATAATTAGTCGACTTGAGGTAAGGATAAGATAATAATAATAAATGCAGAATTTAAATGCAGGATGTAAAGACATTGAGATTTTTATATTGGTCTGGATTCAATGTGAATCCTAGTCCATTCCCCTTGGGTTGCAAGGGTGTTCTCTTTCAGTGATCGTTGTTTCTTGAGTATAGATTGAATGGCGTAGCTTTACACCAATACTTAGTCTCTATATCTCTCTTCTTTTTCTTGATACAATGTCTCACTAGTGTTTATCTCTTTTTCTTCTCTCACTTAGTTACACAACAGATCTAATGAAACTACAATGCTTATTTGGAGTAGAACAAAAAGAGGGTAAATGGTTCGATCAAAGTATATGTCTCCAAGTCTTAAGGATGTGTATAAATACTTTGTAGGAGACCGTTGAAATTGACGAAATTTGCCAACCCAAGAGATTTGATTCTTGGAAGAAATTCGTTCTTTCTAAAAATAAGGTCAGTTCCCGTTACTCTTCCTTGATGTGTGGACTTTGACAGCTTTTCATCTTCAAGTCTTGATAGCTGCCGGATTTGCTCCTTAAATCTGGGTCCTTCCAGTAATAGCTTCTGATTGATTACCTTGCCGGATCTTCAGTGCTTCTTTTCCTTTTTAACGTTAATTCCTTTCCTTTGATTATTTCAATCAATCCTTTTGAATGCTTCAATCAATCTCTGATTGATTTCTTCTTTCAGCTTTGATTACTTATCTTTTTGCACTTCGATCTGGGTTGATTTCCTTGAATCCCTACACCAAAAGCAATTATATTATTTTTCATCATTAAAACTAAAACCTTACCATTAATACATAATTCACCTCAATTTATTACTTAACTAAGGAAATAAACCTTTATCACTTGACAATAATTAATTAGTATTTTATACTTTCGCCTCAGTTTATCACTTATCAATACGTGGGAAAAAATCCGGAAGAGAATTCAGGACAATCATATCTGTATAAAACGTGAGGGGAAGAAATCAACAACCGAGACATCAATTTTATTTATGCCTTAATGGAATCTCATTTGTATAATTTAATTGTTATAAACTTTTGAATTTATAAGTTGGAACAAAGTAAAGGCACGCGTAGAATTGACAGGCAGGAAAGAATAAATGAAGAAGACGAAGATAGCGATGAGTTGTGAAATCTCTAAGGGGATATATGGTGTCGGTTTTTGCAATTTTGATAATTCAGATGCATGAACTTGATCACTAAATTTCTCAATTTAATGGTTGAGTAGCTAAAAGGATATATTATTTTATTACTTGCAGGCTCAATTAAGCTAATTCTTGTTTGCCTTGCACGTTTTTTGTTTTAACTTGAGAACGCATAGACAACTTTATATTCTTATATTGGAAGGAGAAAAAAAAAGCTATGATAATATGATATGATAATATCTCTCTAAGAGCACCGTTTTCCTTTTAAAAGAAAACATTATTTTGCTTATGGAAAAGGCACTAAATAAGGTCCCATAAGTCACAAAGCTGAAACTAAAAAGAATAGCTTCTTAGAGAAATTCGACTCTAAAATCTTATTTCTTATTATGATTGTTTTTACATTTCCTTTTGTTCAAAACGAAACATAAACTAAAATGATGTTTTGTTTTAGTTTATGTTTAAGAGCTCGTTTGGATTGACTTAAAATAGTTTTTAAGCCAAAAGGCATAAATTGGAAATGAGACTCTATGAGAATTTTCGACTAAGAAAGCCAGTATTTATTGATTTATGTCAAGATTAACAGACAACTATGGTCTTCAACCCACACGTGGAATGTCTGTGTACGAGAAGCTAGGCATGTTTCTTATGATTTGTGCACATGGTGCCGGAAATCGATTGATAAAGGAGATATTTCAACACTCAAGAGAAACAATTCATAGGCACTTTCATAGTGTTCTAATGTCCATTGGTGAGCTGGCCAGAGATATTATTAGGCCGCACTTAAATTACAATGATGGTGTAGGAGATCATAAGTCATATAATCGACGATATCTCCCTTTATTTAAAGTAAGTAATAATTTTAAATAACTAGTTTTACATTATAGCTCAAAATTTTAATATTGCAAACTTATATTACATTTTTGTATTTAAATATTTACAGGATTGTATTGGAGCACGTGATGGTACACATGTGAAAGCAAGAATACCGCAAGGCCAAGAGATACCTTATATATGACGTAAAGGTTATCCAACTCAAAATATTCTTGTTGTTGTCGACTTTGATATGTGTTTTACATTTGCATGGGCTGGGTGGGAAGGAGCAGCTCATGACAGTCGTATATTTGGTGAGGCCCTTCATAGATCAGAGCTTAACTTTCCACACCCATTGGGAAATAATATTACCTAGTTGATGCAAGGTATCCACATATGAAGGAATATATGGTTCCATATAAAGGGGCTAACGTGAGATACCACCTAGGAGATTTTCGTCGAGGTGCGACACGACAATTGCGAGCACCAAGAGGAAGGAAAGAAAAATTTAATTATTTGCATTCTTCGTGTAGAAACATTGTGAAACATACATTTGGGGGTATGGAAAGCGAGGTGGTCTATTTTGCAAGATATGCATTATTACGACATTGATATCCAGAGGGATATCGTCATTACTACTATGGTCATTCATAATTATATTAGAAAGAAATGCAAGGTGGATGATGCATTTCGAGCAGCTAAGGATGAGAGATATATTCCATCTGTTGAGCATGATGTTGGCACATCTCTGGGGGCTAATAGCGTAAACGTAGAAAATGTGGAAAATCAAAGTGACAACAGTTGGATGGCTACTCGTGACGTGATTGCTAATAATATTTGGCAATATGCTGAACGCTTGCATTAGCTATTTTCAATTTTGTTTTGGACATTTTACTAGGTATAGATACGGCTCTAGATATTTTGGTCATGGTTCTCTAGCCTCTTTTGAGAATAATGGAGTAATTGAGCGATTTGATTCAATCCAAGTGTCTTGATAGGGCAGTGACAATATTACCATTGTGAATGCCTTTCTGCTTTTATGTAGCAAATTTCAAGTTGTGTTGCTAAGGCGACTCTAATTTATAGTATATTTCGAAAACATTCGTAATGCTTTTTTACAAATACTTTATAAAATAATTTATATTTATTAAAAATAATCTTATCAAAACAATCTATAACCTAAAGTTAATTGAGACATAACTTAATTTGTGTTTGAATTAATTTAAAATTTAAAATATTGCAATAACAAGCTCATTTTTCGCTTAATAGTTTTAAGGGTATTTCAGTCATCTTAACAGAAAAAAAACTTTTCAGCACTTTTTACCAAACACATCAGCTGCTTATTTTCAGCTCCAACTCTTTTATCCAAACACGTAACTGTTTAATTATAAATTCAGCTCCAGCACTTAAAAAGTACTTTTATGTACTTACTGCTTAAAAGCTACTTAAATTCACCTAACCCAAACGGGCTCTTATTACTTTTGACTTGTTTTAAGCAGTTTTTAACTTATTTTAAACACTTTTTAATTTTGCCAAACAATAAAAAAGAACTTAAAAAATAATTTGACCAGCTTAAAAGTCAATCCAAACACCCTCTGAAACAATTAGCTTCATTCTTCTTATAATTACATGATAAAACGGTCTTTCTATTTCTAGAAGGTTTACTAAGTCAACCTTGATGAGGCATACGTGATATACCCTAAATAAAATCTGAATGCAAGTCTTACAAACTTTTATATATAACGATAAAAATTTGACTAGTGGAAACTTTCCATTATTATGAATAATTAATATTTCGAAGGTAGTACTAACAATTTACAAAAATGTTGCCCCTTCTGCTTGACCTGATGTCTACTAGTTTATTTTCTTAAGGTGTTAACCAGGAGGGATGAATCAGGAGATGTTTGTCCTGATAGTTTCTTCCTTCTAAATGGCTCATGTGCTTCTCCCGAGCTAATTCCGTCAAAGACAATGTAGACCAAAAGTGTTCAATATTAGTAAAAAAACATAAAGGACTAAAGCTGCACAAAACAAATATTTAAGGAACTATTTTAGACCAACTCCTAAACATAATGGACTACTTTTATTATTCTCTCTATTCCCCATTCTCTCAGCCTGAACTTAAATAAAGATCCACAAAACAGGTACTAAGCAATAGATGAATATACTAGTACCTACAAGAAAACAAGGAAACATCCAAAAAATTTTAAAGAAAACAAGTTGCTATCCCATATTAACCTCATAAATAAGAAAGACAATACAGGTAAGAAATAGATGGATATACTAATAATCCATCACCAACAGGGAACGTCTGAAGCTTTTAAAGAAACTAGTTGCAGTAACCCCCCTCTCTCCTTATCTCCCCTCACCCAACTCTCTCGCAACGGCCGACAGTAAGTAAAGGAGACAAATTTTGATAAAAACACTGTTTTTGTACAATTCCAAAGTAATAAGAAACAAAAGAAAGCAATTTCATGTTGCAGACTCCAACTACATGCATCTCTGAATCATAAACAAGCTAAGCGCCCAAAGTTACCCACGCAGCTAATATGTCAATGAGGACTATTGACGTTGCTACAATCAAAAGGAAGTTGCCCATAGTCAAGTTTAATCACAGTCTTAAAGCAGATAAAACTAGAGTAGAGCTGGATATTGCTTAGCCTGCTGCTTCACTCGCCTCTTGTACTCAGCTGTGTCCTGCAAAAGTAATTGCCATATTATTTGTAATGACAGTCAACACTATTTGGTCTGTTCAGTAAAATTTCGGAACACTTTTATCAGGGACCTATGAAGCTATTTCCATAAAGCATCGTATCTGCCAATGCAGAATTTTATCTTGATCGGAAGTAGGGAAATTATGAATTATTTGACTAGAAGTTAAAAACAAACCAGTTTACTTGTCATTTCACTCCTACAACCAAGTAGTGGCTAGAACTACAAAGTTTATGGACTTCAAGTACGCTGTATAGTTGTTTCTTACTACACATTAGGCATAGATGAGTGACATACAGCAAATCAGCAATTGCAACCTTGCAAGGATTAGGATATATAAAGGATAGTCCAGGTAAAATGTTGAACATCATAAAAGTAAAAATGCCAATTTGAGGAAACTCGAACAGATACACGTCAAATAAGTAGAATACCTGCATATAGAGCTGATAACCATCAGTTTGTGCTGGATCATTAGGATTTGGCTGGTCGAGCAAATCTTGGATACCCACCAAAATTTGTTTAACTGTAATGGCTGGCCTCCACCCCTAAGAACAAGTAATTGCAAGAGAAAGAATCCACAGATTCAGTTGAAGGCTGTAAATACCAATCAGCTATACATATATAAAATAACCACAAAGGCAGCAACAAGTACTTACACTGTCCTCGTTGAGGATAGACAAACATACTGTTCCTGAAGGATAGACATTTGGATGAAAGAAACCTTGAGGAAACTTGCACTTAGGGGGTTTGCTTGGATAGTCTTCACTGAAGTGCATTGTTAGTGGATAGTGACCGCCCTCCCAGTCAGTCTGTGCCAGTCATAAGATTGTATATTATTCTTGACAATCATCAAATGAAGGAACAGGGCGTAGAGAGAGGCAAGAAAGGGATTTTGATTACAGTAAATGTAAATCTCTCTACTGCTCTCTCAATGACAAAATGCAAAGTCTATTCCAAGGACTTAAGTGTCTATCACTATCACAGAACATCAGCAAATTAAATCAGGTATGTAGCTCACAAAACGATTCATATCATCACTGTTTACACCTCTAAGATTGATCAAACAGGTGACTACTTAGCAGCCTTCATGCTCTTTCTCAGAGTCATTCAGGTATTTCACCTGGGACTAATGAGAAAAAGGACATATTTCATATTGGAACAGATTTAAAGGCATCTTCTGGTTGTCTTCCTTTAGAAGTGTGTGAGAATGGATCTTGGTATCCATTAGAAAGATTCAACTTTCTTGTACTCCTAGATTATGTGTCTGGATATCTATAATATTTCTTCTATATTATCATCTTACATCTCTTTCAAGTCCAATTAGAATAAAGAATTCTAACTTTCAAAGACCATGAATCCTAATTTAGTCGTTTGTTCGAATGTCCTAATATTTTTTCCAGGTTCATAATATAACCAAACCTAACATGCAGTCCTTGTTGCTTGCTCTCCAGGTGGAAGCTTCAGCCCTTAGGTAATAGTTGATACTGGATAGTGGACTAGAATGGACATTTATAAAGAAGGAGATTAGCAGATCTGGTATCAGTGGCCGTAATGACCTAGCTGAAACTGTTAGTAGATATAGGTGAAAGTTTTAAATTCCAACCAAATGGAGAACATGTTCCGTGAATGAAAGAAAAATGAGCTTCACCTTTTTTTCATTTTCATAGATTCAATTATTTTGCAGTTGGTAAAGACTCGCTTCTTGCTTCAGAGACAATGAGTACTCAGTAAACCAACCAAGGTATAACCGTATAAGAAGCAACATGTCTCATACAACCAGACAGAGATTGGAGTTAAAGTCTACTTCCTACCCTTAAATTCTTCTCTTCCCTACTCTTCAAATTCCTTTCCTTTCCTCTCCCCACTAATTTTTTGCCTCGAGCATATATTTCACGAATTAAATAGGAAGAAAGTAAGAAATGTAGTAAAACCACAGTAGTTCAGAGGAAATGAGTGTACAAACAAGAACAAGCACACCTATCAACAGACCAGAAATGCCTAAGTTCTATCGACACTACCCAGAATCTGTTCTTTACAGATAAACCTGACCAAGAAGGCAATTACAGCACAAAATTACTGATTTTCCCAGTAGCAAATAGAGTTACAGTAACACAAAATCCTTTAAAACACTGACAGTAACTAGCACAAAATACTCCAATAGGTTTTCAAAGAAGCAGCAGTAAAAGAAAGAAAAAATCACAATGACACTGGCTCCTCATCTTAACTACTCCAAAAAATTCACAAAGGGGATAAAAGAGGGCATTGAAGAAGAAACAAAGGAAAAAACTTACATCAGGTTTACCAGGGATAGAGCAATGCCAAACCATCAAATTGACAGACCCATCAGCACCAGTCTCCGGCTTTGCCACAAAACCCTAAACCACAAAATCCACAGAAGCAGCAATTAATGTGCACCCAAAATACCTCAAAAAAATAGTATATATGAGCAGAAGAAAGATGGTAACGGACGCACATGAGGATGATTCTTACGCCATGCTTTCCTCTCCTCAGCCAAACGACCACGCGCAATTCCTCCCGACATGTTTCCTTATGTTTCTCCTAAGGTTACAACTCTCAAGCCAAAATGTTTTATACACACTTCTGTTTTTTGGGAGTTTTATTATACTGTATATCTTTTTTTAAGGAAATTTTATGTCGCATAGCAAAAGCTTTACGCCCTATTTATTATAAATAAAAACCCTTTTAAAATATTATTTTATATAGCTATCTTTTAGGTTTTTATATTAAAATATGTATTTATGATCACTCACTACGGTTAAGCCATAAAATACGGTATCTAATATTTTTCTCTCACATTCTTTCAATTTATTCTCTCACTAAATTACCGCACAGTTCTCTCTCCACAAAATTCTTGTCACGTCCCAAACTATCCTGTAAACGTGACTGACACTCAGCTAACACCACCCGCCAGGCGAACCATACTTTCTTAACTTAACCATTAATTTACAGTATTTGATTAATCATAAGAGTATCCAAATAATCTTACAACTAAATTACGCACAATTAATATCTCAAAATATTATACTGAAATTCTGCCCAAATCCCATACTAGACCATGGAGCATCTAAGAGAATTGCAACAGACATCATATGAACAAATAACAAAGGCGCTTTTGGCAGCCTCCACGAACAATGCGGCGGCTCACCTCAATAACTGAATCAACTATAGCGAATTCGTCAGCTACTAGCTCCATCTTCACCAATAGTATCTGCATAGACATGCAGGTAAGGAGTGAGTTATACGTAAATATAACCCAGTAAGATCCTCAACCCGCCACTCTGAATACCCTTGGGACAAGTGTTAGAAAATACAAACACACAACGAGCACAGTGGCGGATGCACATAGCCACTCGTGGGTGCTTAAGCACCCATTAACTTTGACCATATTTAATAATTTACATAGGCTATTGTACAAATATTTAGATAAATCTTGAGTGAGCACCCATAAATAAATTCATTTTTCCTCTTTTTTTGGAGTCTTTATCAGCGAGCACCCATAATTTTAAAATCCTGGATCCGCCACTGAACGAGCACATAAATAATATACACAGAAATTCTTTCACCATATAATTACATTATAAGGTCCAAACAATTATTCAACAACAACATTATATATATCTCAACACAATCTACACTAAGGACTTATCATTAACGGCAGTGCAGGATATTAACCTAACACCCCAACGAGTCTCCGGCAACATACACAATGCTCCAAATCTACACGGCTGCATACACAATGCCCCAAATCTATCACGGCGGCATACATAATGCCCTAAATCTATCACGACGGCATACACAATGCCCCAAATATATCGCGGCGGCATATACAATGCCCCAAATATATCATGACGGCATACACAATGCCCTAAATAGCGGCATACACTATGCCCAAATCTATCACGGCAGCATACACAATGCCCCAAATATATCACGGCGGCATACACAATGCCCCAAATCTATCACGGCGGCATACACAATGCCCCAAATATATCACGGCGGCATACACAATGCCTCAACATCATGGCTCACAGCCGTATCAAACTCAACATTATGGCTCACAGCCGTATCACACCATCAAACAACTTATAAAAATAATTTTTTCTATGTTTTTCATAAAATAATATATTTACGGCTAGTCTAAGACCACTGATTCTGCCAAGCGCACGCTTGTCCCAACACATGGACCAGGCAGAGAAAAATACTTTTTTTTCAAAACGGGATTTAGAAAAGAAAGTATTAAAGCTAAAAGTCTCACTTACCTTGCTAAGAAGAAGTTTCTCGACCTCGCAACGTCCAGAACACCAACCAAACGGTATTCAATGGCCCCAAACTATACAACATATTGATAAACGATGTCATTTAATGGGTCGTAAGTCATAACTCAATCTTATTTTTCTTAATTTCAGACTTGAAGCTAAATCTCAATATTTACATCTCAAGTCACAAATTATAAAAGTGAAATTATATTCTAATATATCAATCTAAACACGATAGTTAGCTTTAATTTCTATAAATTAGCACCGGATACCAATGACAATAACCAGAGTAAGAGTCGAAACCTGTCTATACTTAATAATAGATATTCGAAACCTAACCTTAAAAGAAATTAAGATGCGATAGATTCCCCATTATTGTCGTATACATACGTGAGCATTCTCTGTTAGAACTTCAATTTGTGTATCTAATCTTAAGAGATCATCATTACCAAATCACTAGAACTAGCCATTATAAATGATATTAGTTCATCTCAATTCCCTTGAATATGTTACTATATTAAGAATTACATATAAGCATACCTTGTAACTTGGCTTTCTTCACAAAGATTCCCACACGATGATTGGTAATTGGAATCAAATAGTAGTCTAGCTTCTATATATTCACGCCGACGTCACAGGTTTTTTTCTTTTTCCGGTACTATTGTTACTATTTTTTTCTCGAAGAACTAGACAATAAAAATATATTCTAATCCCTAAGTCCTAAACTTAGCAGCATAAGGTATGGGCATAGGGCCCTTTTTCCTTTCCTTCATATAATTCGAAATTACTACATTGCTAATTATAAAGGAATTTTTACCTCCTATAGCGAAGGTTAACACCTTATTTATTTTAAATAAATACCATTTAAAAAAATTATATTCTATAGATACATTTTAATGTTTATAGCAAAATATCTAATTTTGGTAACCTCCTACCCCTAAGCCATTAAAGACGCTATTCAGTTACACTATTTTCTTTCTCTCTCTACTTTGATACATGTCTTTAATGGTTCTTGAGTTCTTTTCATCCTTTAAATCTAGTTAATTTTCTCACTAAACTTTGTGGCAGCATAATCACGAAAGGTCCCTTCTCGAGAAAAACTGATGCAGTAATGCAGATAATGAAGTACCCAAATTAGTTGTTTTTAGTGATAATGTTAGTACAATTCATCTAGTAATTTCTTCCATTAAAGTGGCTCTATGGCATTCGGATTAGAAAATGTTCTAGGTTTGGCTTAATTTTTGTTTTGGAAGATAATTTGTGTTTGTATTTGGTTTTGGAAGAACGGAAGAAGAAGAAGAAGATAATTTGTGTACCTTCACGACGTTTCAAATTCAATGAGACTTGAACCCAAGATATTTGGCGAGAATGAAGCTCTTGAATTTCAATTTCTGACAATTAAAAAGGTCTTACAATCTCGAGGCTTCCACACCAAGATACAAAAATTTTGGTGAAGTCGCGCTAATTTGGAATTGTCGGCATATCTGAAACGGAAGTCGACTTAGAACTATCATCTGAAACTATCCCTAAGGCATTAAATTTTACATGTTGGATATGTTTTAGATTTGAAGTTTAGTTTCCAAGAAATCAAACGATTCGTGATTTCGATGTCCCTACTTCAAGATACAAAACTTTTGACGAAGTCACGTAAATCTGAAATTGTCAGTGTATCAGAATTTAGTATTGACTTCGAAATACTATCTGAAACTATCCTTAAGGCATTAAATTTTGCATTTTGGATATGTTATATATTTGGATGTTAAGTTTCCAATAGATCAAATGGTTCGTGATTTCGAAGCCATAGTCGCGTCAGAATTTAATAGTGATTTCGGACTACTAAACTATCCTTAAGGCACTAAATTTTGCATTTTGGATATGTTATTATTTGCAAGTTAAATTTTTAAAAAATCAAACGGTTCGTGATTTTGACTTTTCTACACCAAGATATAATTTTTTTGGTGAGACTGTGCAAATCTAAAATTTTCAACGTGGTGGAATCTAAAGTTGGTTTCAAAATATTATCTGGGGCGATTTTGAAGGTGTTTGATTCTAAATTTTGGATATATTTTAGATATTGAAGTAATTTTCGAGAAATCAAACGGTTCATTATTTGGACTCTCCCATGATAAAATATGAATCTTTTGTTACAAGCGCGTAAAGCTGAAAATTATGCGACTAAGATAAAAGTCGAACAATGTAAAGCAAAAGAGAAGCTCAAATATTTATGCCCTCGAAGTCTCCAAGTTGAAATCTTCAAGTCCGTCGGCTTCAAGTTGAAGTCTTCACGTTCGCCACTCTTCAAGTTGAAATATTTAAGCCCTCCAAGTCTCCAAGTCTCCAAGTCCGTCGGTCTTTAAGTTTCAGTCTTCAAATTCGTCGGTCTTAAAGTCGAAATATTTAAACCTCCAAGTCTTCCAGTTGAGGTCCTCAAACTCGTTGGTCTTCTAGTGGAAGTATTTGAGCCCTCAAATTTTTCAGGTTGAAACGTCAAAGTCCGCCAAATTTTCAAGTTTGTCGGTCTTCAAGTTGAAATGTGCAAAGTCCGCCAAATCTTCAAAGTTTTCCAAGTGTTCAAGTCGACGTCATCAAGTCCATGAAGTCTTCGAGTTGAAGCTTTATAACTTTCCAATCTTAAGGTGGACATATAAGTCCCTTTGCACCTTAAGTTGGCCTCTTCGTGGGTTTGTCCTTAAAAGAAAGCTATAACTTTCCAATCTTAAGGTGGACATATAAGTCCCTTTGCACCTTAAGTTGGACTCTCCGATAGTCGGGTTATTTTGAGAGTAATCTCTCCGGTAGTCGAGCCACATAAGAGTAATCTCTCCGATAGTCGAGTCATTTTGAGAGTAATCTCTCCGGTAGTCGGGACACATTGAGAGTAATCTCTCCGGTAGTGGGGCCACATTGAGAGTAATCTCTCCGGTAGTCGGGTCATTTTGAGAGTAATCTCTCCGGTAGTCAGGACACATTGAGAGTAATCTCTCCGGTAGTCGGGCCACATTGAGAGTAATCTCTCCGGTAGTCGGGTCACATTGAGAGTAATCTCTCCGGTAGTGGAGCCACATTGAGAGTAATCTCTCCGATAGTCGGGTCATTTTGAGAGTAATCTCTCCAGTAGTCGGGCCACATTGATAGTAATCTCTCCGGTAGTCGGGCCAAATCGAGAGTAATCTCTCCGGTAGTCAAGTTACATTGAGAGTAATCTCTCCGATAGTCAGGTCGTTTTGAGAGTAATCTTTCCAATATTTGAGAGGGACTGAGTACCCATCCCCTCACACACTAAGATAATCTTCTTCATGCATGGATCATCTCGTTAAACAAAAACAAATCCTT